CGCTGCCCGCCTTCGAGTTGGCCCCGGACCTGCAGGACCCCTGCTGGCTCTGCCGGGTGCCGGTGGTTCACCGCGAGACTCATGAGGCCAGCCCACGCCACCAGGAGCTGCTGAGAGCGGTGGGCCCCCCTACGTGCGTCGAGGCGGCGCTGTGGCTCCTCCAGAGGGACCGGCCCGACCTCCTAGCCCCGGCGGCCCGGGAGCTACCTGAGGAGGGGGCCACCCCTGCAGCCACCGCCGCTGCCTCTACCGCCGCCACCACCGCCACCGGGGTCTTGGACCCACTGCCGCCCCCGCTGGTGCCGCTCCCCTGCCCGGCCGAACCCCTCGCCGCCCCGCTGCCGCCTCCGCCCGCCGAGGACACGGTGATGGCGGAGCTGGAGGAGTTCCTGGCCGGGGACCGTCCGCCCTCCGCCGACTCGGTCCCCCGGGGTCCGATCCTTGAGGGAGGGGAGGTGTAGGAATCCGTCCGTCCGCGCCACCCTGGAGTCCCGTCTTTCCCGCATCTCCCTTCCCCTTCGCCCGTTCTTCCCGCGCCCTGCCAGGGCCGAGGCGCCCGCTCCGTGCTCACCGGATCCCTGGACGGGGGCGCGTCACCGTACGGCGCGTAATCCCCACTCGGGGATCGCGCGCGGCCCGTGGCAGGTGCGTGGGTGTTCACGTGGACGGGTCGTGGGGGGGCACGTGATTGGTGGGGGCAAAGATACAAAAAGGGAAGCGGGACAAGGGGGGTCCTCTTCGGAACCTGCGGACCAGACAGTGCGTGACGACGACGACGAGAACGACGACGAGGAGGACGAGGGCAGGACGGTGACCACCGACGCGTGAGTTTAGTAAAGTGTTCTCAAAACGCACACTGCGTGAGTGACTTCTTGGGGAGCGAGCGAGGCACGTCCCGACCGGGCGTCGATTAGGTAGCGACCCACAAGGTAAGCGTAAAAATGTCATTAGGAAGTGAAATAAATATTTTCGGGACATAAATGTCACGAGTGGCTTGTCCATAGCGAGTATAAGAACGAGGTACAACATAGCGAGGACAATTCCTTAGAACTCGGAAGAACATGCATTATTTGTTTTAATCATTCGCCCTATTGAAAAATCCGGCGAAAACTTCCAGTGACATTTGGTGGAAGCGGGTTAATTTCCACTCATTTTCACCAGAAACCAGCGTAGTTTACCAGTTTTTTGGTGGAAATATTACCGGCCCCGACTTCCAGTAACCAAATTTCGCTGGACCTTTTACCAGAGACACTTACGGTTAAAATCCGGCAAAAATTTCCCGTGACATTTGGCGGAAACGGGTTAATTTCCACTCATTTTCACAAGAAACCAGCATAGCCACTTTCGCTGGGAGTTATACCGGAACCACTTTCAATTACCCGCTGCTGGAATCCTACCGGAAGCCAATCTCGTTTGCCGGACACCGAGCATCACTGGAAGCCGACGCAAGGTGAACGGCTAAAGTCAAGGAAGCCAAGACGAGCGGGGGACTGTGTATGTGATGGCGGCCGCCAATGGAGCGGAATTCTCGTGAGTGCGTGTTTTAGCTCGAAATGACGTTGCAACTCTGCAAACAGTACGTGCAGCGAACTGTTTTAACGATCCAAAGAGGTGGGCAGCGATCACCGGCAAATCGGTATTTGCGACAGGCAAAAGCCTGGGCCAGCGCAGGTACTAGACGACTCGAGCGGCATTCTCGTGAGTGCGAGTTTTAGCTCGGGACGACGTTGCAATCCTCAAAAAGTGCGCGCATTGAACTGTTTTGACGATCCAAAAAGGAGGGCACTTTCACCCGTTTTCATTCCAAACCAGTTTACCAGTCCTTGGTAATTATTTGCCGATAAAAAAATTTCACTGGAATGTCACCGGCAGCCCCTTTCGTATACTGTGCAGACGACCCGGTTTTCCTAGAAATCTTACCCGAAACGGGTGACTCGCTTCCCTGTTTACCGACCTTCACTCGAAGCCGACGGGAGGGAAGGGGGAAGCCGAGACGAGTCGAGGACTGGGCGTGTAATTATGGCGCCTCGCACCAAAGACGAGTCCCCACGTGCCCTCTCTCCCTCGCATTGGGTTTGTGGCGAAAATGCAAGAAAGTCGTTTTGCTGACATTTTTTTTCTTTTTTTTAAGAAAACCGTTTTTTTTTTTTTGTCCGTCAACGAGCAGCGGCCGGCCAGGATCGAACGCTTAGTCTCGGCTTCTCGTTCTATGTGTGCGAGCTGTATCTTCCAACGCAGCTGGGTCTGCAGATGAAAAGATTATAATTTTCAGTGACCTGTTTCTTACGCCTATTTATCCGTCCGTCTTCAGAAGCATCCAACGAGCGAAAAAGACTGTGCCCAAGATTTCTCAACGTCGGCGGATGTTCCTTTCGCGCGTTCGTGGTTTTCGCTAACCGTGCTACTGACGCCTGGTGCACCCGCGGCGACGGCATCAGGGACGACATTGTGAGTGTGCCCGGGATTTCTCAACGACGGCGGATGTTCGTTCCGCGCGATCGTGGTTTTCGCTAAACGTGGTGCTGACAGTATACCTGTGTGTATCCGTGTGGTGCACCTACGCCGTTTTATTAGTTGAACTACCGTGCGTCTAGGAATTTACCCAGCGGCATTGTGAGTACCTTGAAATGTATATTTTGCGGCAAAGAACTTGGTTGTTCCTATTTGGTCTGATTGCTTTTGTCTATAGCTGTGCAAATTGTTTCACTGGTATCGACCCTGTTAAATCAATACATAGAACCTTCAGGTCTATATCGACTAACCACTTTAATTGTTACCTAATCGTCCAGCATCTTGTAAACATACACCAACCACGGTTCAGAGGCTTCCTCTTAAGTGCCTTCCGTTGACGTCCAAAAAAAGAAAAAAAAATCAGGGTAAATTCCGGTCAATCTGGCGATCTTCTGGTAAATTCTGGCTTTACTGGAAGTGAAAAGAGTCCCATAATCCAGTAAAATAGATTTTTACTGGAATTACCTTTCGGCCAAAATCCGGTGACATTCTGGTAAATATCCGGTGGCTTTCCGGTAAAAAAACCGGTGACATTCCAGTACAAAATTCGGCGACAATCCGCTAAGCTACGGCTTTACTGGAAGTAAAAACAGTCCCATAATTCAGTAAAATAAACTTTCACTGGAAATGACATTCCGGTAAAAAGATATTTTTCAATAGGGTCACCTAAAAGTGTCTAAAAAATATTTGGCTTTGGAGAGCAGCGACACAACAGAAAGGCCGGTGTACCACACTGTGGAGGTAGTGACATGTTTTGTAGTCTCTAAGCAACACGTTATATTGAAATTTTATAGATTACAAGTAGGTTTAGAAAACGTTTCACAATGATATCATATGCCAAAAAAATTCTAACGCGAATATTTTTTTTAGCAAACGAACGCTAACATTGCAGATAATCCGCAATAGCGCCAAGTACAACGTGCACTTATACGTGGGTGCTACAGCAAAGCAAATTTTAGGGGAAACTTGTCTTTCTCTGTAAAATCAATAAAACAGACAAATTCAGCTTTTTGAAATGGTGTTTATGAAGCTGAGTTCTTCTATAGATAATATTTTAGCGTCGAAGGAAGCTTTGCGGGATTCACACCTTTTATACGAAGTTTGTGTTCAATATATTTGTACCGAAGAGAAACTTGAGAAATATAGCACAGCCATATGTAAAGAGGAATACCATTAAATTACGTCGAAACAGGATTTGGTATAATTTATACAACACCTAAAACAAATATTCAGCATACACTTAGCTACATCAATGAGCTTACTGCACTGTTCGAAACTCATCGACCGAAGTTGCCAAGATTTCTTTAAGAATGCCGAAAAAGGGCCGAAAACAACACCCTGTGGGCCAATTCTCAGGTAAGTTAATTTCATGAAAGTCATCGTCCTCAACCGATACGTGAAAGGCGCATAAATATCATGTTTAGTTGCAAGCTTGGTGCACTTCGTCGGCTTGCCTCTGAGAACACCAGCGAGAAATTCCGCAATGTCCGATTCAGTAATAAGTGGATTCATCCGGGAAATGAAGAGCGCTCGACGCCTTGTCTGGCGCTTCACGGAGCTCAGCTTGCTAACGGGGTTCCCTCCTTCGGCAAGCTTGACCCTTTTCTTTCGCATGACTGTCTACAACCCTTTGCCGTCCACTTCATCCCTCTCGGTGTCTGGTTGAGTGACCGTTGTCGAATTTGAGCGCTGCAGAAAACGAAGGGGTTTATTTGATCGTTGGCCGATACTATCAGTGCCGGTGTTTGTTCTAGACTTGCTCGGGTTTTTAAAGGCAGCATCGAATTTACTTGATTGTCTGGTCGGCAAACCTGGCACATGCATTGCCGAGCGGTTCCGCGTTTTTCGAAAGCTGCAGTCGCAATGCATGTTTGTCTGCTTTTAGCATCTTCATGTCTTTCGCCAGTTCGTCAATTTTGTTGAAAAGCTGGGCAACAAGCATGTGAAGATTGGCCTCGGTAATGGTCGATTCATCGTTGCTGTGCGAAACGATTTCTTCGATGAAGTAGACGAGTAGACGTTGCCAACCTTCGTTTCTTGCGAGCCCAGGCGCTTCACACACGTAGAGCACTTTTAGCTGCTAACACCGTTCATCATGAGCAGGTTGTAGTCTTCTTCCCCAACCTTTATGCATTTGCAGAGAAATCGGCGCTTGCAAGTCCCGGAGCCAGCAAGAAACTGCTGCCTTCCATACAGGTCCCGCACAAGTCCTGACAGCCCGTCATTCCGAGAACGAATGACGAGCGGTAAGGACGACGTAAAGAAAGCGCAGAAAATTATCAATAAATATCAGTGTACAAAGGACCTGAACGAAAATCTGTTCCATTTCTGATAGACATCCGTTCGACGACGTTTACGTATCACTTGTGTTAATTCGACGGAAATGCTCTAGACTATCATTCTTCACTACGCGTATTCAGGAGCCGTTTTCACTATTTTAAAAAAAAGATATCATTGCAACCGCTGGATATAAATGCTGCATGACTTACCATTCGGACTAATTCCACTCCCAATGTGATCTTCAAAGAGGATGCTTTTTTAAAGAAATGAAATGAATCAATATATGCTTACATAAAATTCCGACAAAATACCCGAGGAATGTCTTAGTTTAGTGATAACGTTCGTACCTGGTTAGCAAGAGTACAATGTCATCATTATTAAAATTTATATTTTTTTGAACCCATGCCTGAAACATTCCCAGCGTAAATGTTGGGTCAAGGGTTACTCTGTATTCGTTGTTCGTTTTCTCAAAGTGAGACTCCTCTTCTTCCTGAAATACATCAAATCACATACTTAGTTTAGCTATTCCCGCACAATGTATATAATTGTAAGGGCATATATTATATTTCCATTTTTTGGTGAGAATTTTTCAGATAGAGGCGCATACATAAATCCATATTGTCTCCGCTGCATTTTTTTACGTGCCTCGCATAGAGTTAAGTTGACGAAAATAAGGCGTAAGCATACTTTCGTCGTTACCCCAATTACATTCGACTAATTGAGTGTGCGAATATCAGAGTTTCGCAGTTGAATTCAACGGAAATTGCATGAAGAATTCTATTCGGCTCTCAGATTTTTACTGTTCGAGTCTTCGAATAAATAAATATTTTGAATAGATGTAGAAAATCAGGATATATTAAAGAACACTCTCTATATGGTGATAGTACTCGAAGGGGACATAACTAGATCTCAATCAAGTCTGCAATCAGATCACTTGAGTGACTAACCGTTTCGAAAGAAATTAGCTAATTTCTTATTTGGCGACGACGGTGACAGATGCGTTTATTTATCTCTTTTGCCAGAGCTTCTGCGACCAACCGCCTGGATCGCGACGTTTGACGCACGACGACCAACCGTGACGGGAACACGTTCGCTACGTGGGCGGTATAGACACAAAGCACACCGGTCGAAGGTGCTTTCGGGTACCTTATAGCGAATGCCCGACGCCGCCTTCCGCCACAAGTACTGCCAGCCCACCGTGTAGGGTTCAGCCAGCAGCATGAGACAGCCCTACCTGCCCCGCAAGCAGCACCCGCCAATGTACGTGCTGAGACACTTCCTGGCGCCACCCTCCCGCCCACCACCACGGCGGGGGCAGGGCCCCGGCCCCGCCCGTGGTGGTGGGCGGGGGCCTGGTCCCAGTTGAACCTAACGCCGGTGGGCCGTACGCGGCCCACTCGCTCCCTGGTTACCTGCAGCCAGGCCAGGTGCCCGCCGCGGCCCCGTCGGCGCCGGGATCGCCGGCGTTTCCCGCTTGCGCCGACTACGGCCTGAACTAATTTCCTGAACCCCCTGATTCCCGGCGAGCCCCAGTACCAGCACGTGTACCTCATGTTCGGGGAGTGACGACAAGTGCCTCTCGAGGCCCACCCATATCCGTTCTACATACCCCCCTCTCCATTCCCCCCCTCCTCACTGGACCAGGGGGCCCTCCCCGGCAAACGTTAGCGCCACGGGACGAAACTCGCTTTCCGGTTTCAGCGGCTCCCACCGGTCACCTCTTCGCCCCGCCGCATTTCGCTGGGTCACCCGGCCTGAGCTCGTGCTGCCGTGGTTCCCACGAGGGAATCGACCGGCGTCGTCCTCGGCACGCGCGTCTCGCCACCCGAGCTTGGATCATCGACGGTTGCTTGGTCTTGAAGATAGAACTGCTTCTCAGAAAGCGCGTTGTACAATTTTTGTATATATCTATTCTGGGTGGCATGCTCTTGGCGTTGTTTTAATCCGCGTGAGTTGGTTACTCTGTGCGGTTCCAGTAATTCAAATATCTATTTGATCCGCATTTATTTAATTTTTAACAATAGTAGAATAATCATAAAATGTAAAAATAACAATATTATTAAACAAATTATAATCCGGATACCTCTTGAAAGATCTATGCGCTACACAAACTCATTTCATAATTTACGACCATACTACAATATGTAATTAACGAAACAAGAATGAAAACTCAATTTATTTCTACTCTTCTACTAACGCGTTGTTCACGGAGGCAGCGAGTGATGAGGTTTGGCTTCGCTGTTCAAGGTCAGTGGTTTGTTCATTCCAAACACTGCATATTCACGCGTGAATACACTGACACTCTCCAGCTATGTCTCCCATTTTTGGTACTTGAAAGTGGTTACTAACGTCGTTTGTATTTTCGGCTAGCCGCTCTTTCCGCAGTCCCTACGGAATAATATATTCATAGGCGTAATTTTTTATATTAGTGTTTTTTTGTTTTGTTTTGTTCTTGTGCCATGAATATAGAAGTTTCGGTATTGAATACTCAATTCGACATTTGAATTTGTAGGTAGTATTGCACATCCTTATACGAATCCGATTTGAGCTGTAATCTCACAATCGGTATCCTCTACAACTAAAACGTTTATTTAGTATTATCTATCGAATCGCTTATCCGAATATGGTTATAAGATATTGAGACACATTTTGAATGCCTACATGTTCACTGTAAACTGAAGCCATTATTCCAAAAAGTCCCTTTATTTTGACCCACTTAACCTTGACATAGGTGTATTGTACATAACTATATGTACAGAGTAAATGTTTCATATTTGCCCACAGCAAACTTGTAGCTAACAAGGTAAAAAAAAATGAAGAGACAGGAATGCTAAAAGACGCCCACCCTCTAATTATGATAAACATACCGTTGTTTCGTTTACACCAGTGAGCACTAATTTGACTTCCGGACATTCTGATTTCCGTAAATAAAGATCCACCTGCAGGAAAACGAGCATTCGAATTGTTTTCAAACATGACACCTGTAAGATGTTTGCATATAACAGCAATTAAAAATTGAAATTTTTTCATCAAAATATGATTACACACTACGCCCAAAGGCTCTTTATAGCTGAACTGAACGCCTAGGAGACAAGGGCAAGAGGGAGTAGATACAACACGTTGGCGTATTGGCGACTGAAAGTTTGATTTGAAAAACACACAATTATATACGGTTCGTAACACACCACGCCATAACCCTCGGCCCCACTCTTTCTGCAAAAATATAAATCTTTATCAAGAAGGGCCAATGATGGCTCGCTTACACACTTGCTTGTGCCCCTTTTTTTATTTTAAAGGCTTCCTGTATCTCTTTTATTGTATCATTTCTCTGCCTTCCGAGGATCTTAATCTCCGAAAAAAGTGTAGTGCACTCGCATCTATTGGAGTGTAACGCCAAGTGTCTTGAGGGTGCCTCTTTAGTGGCAGCAGCATGCTCCCTTGAACGGTAATTAACGAATCGGCCAGTTTGGCACACGTAAAAGCGGCCGCAAGAAAATGGAATATCATACACCACACACGTAGAACATTTCACAAATTAATTTTTGGGGTTTTTCTCTTGCAGCCATTACTCCCCAAATGAGGCACGTTTATTTTTCGGAAGAAACAACTTAGTTCATTTGCAGCAGAACAAACTTCCGAGGCACCGTGGCGTTCAGCAACTTTTTCTTTTTAAGTTGTGAGATAAGGTGTGCCTGTAAATAGTTATTTCCGGCGTTTGCCTCAAGCGCTCTCGGGGGCTCACCTCGGTGCCGATGAGCTTCTTTCTTAGGCCTTCTGCAACGACAATCAAAGTCTGGAGTGGGAACTCCGCACTCAAGAGTCGGTCGACCTGTCTCTGGAAGCTGCTTCACATTTCATCAGGACTTGATTTTATCAAGAGGCTTTAAAAAACAAAGTTTCGATGCCTCTTTTTACCAGTTTCGAGTGGGCCGAGTTGTATGGCAGCACAACTTCCTTTAAGCGGGGTTCATAGGCCCAACGAACGTTGTCAAGCGAGAATTCAAGTTTTAGATCCAAAAACTAAATTCTTCTCTCCGAAGTTCTTTCACAAGTAAATTTTAATCTATGCGCGCAAGCCATAAAAGTGCTCCAAAAATCGGCTCTAACTGCTTCCGAGAGTTCATTGGGCGGGAGAGCAATAGCCAAGTAGTCATCCACGTATCAAATGGTCTTAAAGATCTCGTCGCTCTCCAGCCTCTCACAAATAGCATTGTCGCATTGAGCTAAGAGTGTGTCGCCAAGAAGGGGAGCAACCCGCGACCCAATAAAGATGCCTTTTTTTCCACATATACCTCGCAGTCAAAGGAAACAAAATTATGGTTCAAGTAAAACGACAAAAGTTCAATGAAGCCCTCCACGTTAACCCCGCAGGCGACCCGGAAGGCTGTCTGAGCGTTAGTTTCGATGCATTGTTTTACTGCACTAAAAGGAGCTTATGGGGCACAGTATAAAAGAGGTATTCTACATTTATCGAAAAGGGGTCATCATTTGCTCTGGGTCCCCCAGTCAGGAATTCCAAAACCACCTCTGAACTTGGCACCAAAAATTTGTCAAACAGTTTCACAGCCCAGAGATGGGGCTGAGGAAGGATGCTATCTAAATCTGCCACGAATACCTTTCCGTCACAATCGTCCTCAACGGAACGTTAATTTTACGCTTTTTAGTGGTGAAGGAAATGTCAAGGGAAAGTATTTTTTTGCTTAAATTCACCTTCTTCTCTAACATCTGAAAAGCTAGAGCGCAGCTCAACCCCTTAGCCCTAGACGTCTCCTGTATCAGAGAAGCCGGCACCACAGGTTTAAAGTTCTTTAAGATAGCTTCTTTCGCCTTGGCAGCGTACATTTTTTTTTTGCAGCATGACAACAAAGCCCTTTTCTTTGTCAGACGTGAGCAGCTTGAGGTTCCTGCCTTTAAAGTAGTCGGCAATGTTTTTGATCTTCGTGCTTGTCGTCCCGTGGCCCTGTCTGCAGCAAAGCACATCCACTCCGTCAGCAATGCGTCGGTCCCAGTCTTTGATGAGCACCTTTTCCGCCGCGCTTCTGACGAGCGATAGCTTCTTTGGAGGCGGAAGGCCTGGTTCCACACTGAACTTGGGCCCGTTGTCGAGGGTGTGCTCGATGTCCTCTGGCAGCAAGGTGCCTCCTAGGAAAGTTAATACCTGACGCCTGCCTTTGTTGCTCCGTTGCTTTCTTGGCAAGAAAGCCATACTGATGTTGCCGCAGGTTTACGTGGGCCAAACTGGGCGATGCGTTATTGACCGTCCAAGGGTGCATGCTGCTGCCACTAAACAGTCACCCTCAGGCCACTTGGCGGTGCATTATAATAGATGAGAGCGCACTCTACTTTTTTCGGAGATTAAAATAATCGAAAGTCTCAGGTATAAAACAAAAAAGAGATACAGGAAGCCTTTGAAATAAAACAAGAGGCACAAGCAAATGTGCCAGCGAGCCATCATTAGTCCTTCTTGAGAATGAATTTGTACTTCGGCAGAAAGAGTGGCGGATAGGGTAATGACGTGGTGTATTACGAACCGTATATAAGTGTGTTTTTCAAATTAGACTTTCAGTTCCGAGTACGCCAACGTGTTGTCTCTCTTTCCTCGTGTCCTTGTTTTTTACGCGTTGAGTTCAGTTGGAAGACCAACTAGCCCAACTAGTTATTTTGATGCTAGTTATAATTTTTTAATAGCAGAGCGTAAGGTATACAAGAAAGAAACATATAAGTTATTCTTGTATGAGTAAATTAATTTGTGTGTAATATCCACCACTCAAACATATCAATAGCCTACCGGTGAGAAATACTGGAACACAATTGTTATAATGTTAGATTCGGTTAGTATGCACTTCATGTGTACTTTTATGTGCACATTGTGGTGAAAAGTTTGGAAGAACCCGGAATTCAAGAATGAACTGATCTAACTTTGCAATTCGTACATGCAAAGAAGTTTATATTTTCAGCAAAATTCAGCAGCAAAGGAGAAGAGCGGTCTTGCATAAATTTTATTACAGGGGTGCTTGATTTTAATTCAAACATAGTTTAAGAAAAGGTAAAGTAACATGTATTTATCAAGGTTGGTGGCCTTTTGATTAATAAATAATTATCGCGGTAAGTGAAGTAACTTACTAAAATTTGCTAATTAACTTTTTAAATCTTAGTGTTAGGGGGCATGTTGCAATCGCAGTAGAATTATTACACAGTACGTTGCTGCAAACATTGGCCAAAACGCTCCTGGGAAAGCTACGCACCGCACAGAAGAAAAGGGTGATGCCGTAGCAGTCTGTGCCTAGGGTTCCTAATGAAAATTATTGGCATTCTCTAGGGTTAATAATTACGTTTTACGCCTATGTATTTTTAATAATTTATTTAAAAGGTACCCCTTTAATTAAAAACCTGATGGGATCAACCCAAACGATTAAATCTATCTAGTTTGCGACGATATAAGGCACGCGCAGCATTTCATGTCGTTCACAAAAAGTGGTAATTTCGGTCTTGTTTCTTTGTTTCAGTTTCTTATCAAAAGGCCTTTCCGCGCGAAATATCCGGCGCACCAGGATAAAACCACGCAACGTGCGTGTTCTGCCACGCATCACACGTAAAGGAGGGTAAAGGTGCGTCTTCACGCTGGCACCGACATCAGTAAGGCAAACCTCATGTTGCAGTCCGAAGTCTTTCGCATCTTGCTTCTTCCATGTGCGATGCGCGAAGGCGCACGTGCATACGTTGCGCGCTCGGGCTGCGAGCGAGATTCCTGGGGCGAAGATGCGTCCCGTAACAAAGTGGAAACCAAGAGCATAGACTCCTCTTTGCTCATAAAGCCTGGCAAATGGACGACGGAGCCATAGAGTTTGTGGTCGCAGATTTGGAGCGCGAGGACCTGGTAGCACAGAGCATCAAAGAGCAAATTCTCGGGGAACCTCAACGTCAGCGCAAAGCTTTTGCAGCGCGGCGAGGACCCGAAACACACTTTGTCGCTCAGAGAAAGTGTGTTTCATCGTCTCACCGCAGCGGGGCGCCATTCACGTAGCTCTTCTCTCGTCTGCTGCCTGCCGCTACACTTTTTCCATTTCGGCGGCCGCTTCTGGTGGCGATCTGCCAGGCTTTCTCTGATACAAGAGCCACATGCGTAGAGACAGTTGAAGTTGAGCATTTTTTCGGAACGCCGTTAAATTCTGCACATGTCTTATAATATTATAATACGGGTGTTTTAGTATTTTTCGATGATTCGCATCAAGTTTATAATTAAAACAATACCTTTAAGATTAATAATTAAAATGTTGGTAATAAGAAGCAATCTATTAACCAATGATATGAACGCTAAGAATTTTTCTTAATAAGCCATTTGACGAAGACCACCAGTTCATCAACTTTTTTTTCTGTGCGATGTGTATTTTTTGCAAGAGAGAGCCCGCGCTTCACAGACACCCGTTAGCGTTTAAAAAATATGCGAAAAGGTAATAGTTCTTAAGATGTCTCACTCGTCTCTTTCACATCAACCATTATGTCCAACATATTGACAATGTCGCCTTAGGCATTACGCTTTTTGCTTTTCCCTTCCTAATTCACTTTGAATTCTCTGTGTTTTGAAGCGAGCAACACCACGTTTCAAGACACCCAGGCTGGAAAACAATGACTATTGGTGCTTGCATAAAAGCCATTAATAAACTTATCACAACATTACATAAAAGTGCTTTAATTTTGAGAATAGAGGAACAGCATGGATTTATGAAACGAAAAAGGGAAGACAAAATTTGCGAAAGAAAAATGTACATAGACGCGAGTAGCCTCTTTCTCAGGCTGTGATTGTAAAGTAACAAAATGACACAAAAAGAATTATTGGTTACGCTAGTAGGGAACGTTATATTTACTACTCAACAAAAAAGTAGTGCAGTGATGAATTTAGGGAGGAGGTGGGCGGAAAGAGCGACAACCCTCCCCTTAC